GATAGGAGTGATGATACAAGCATACACTCCTACCTGACACACTGGGGGCTCCAGTCTATTGGTGGGGAGCTGCACCTGCTGGAAAACGGGTCCAGCGTCCCTTAAATTGAACTGACAATATTATAGAACGTCACTTGATGGGAAGCGGGCCCAGCGTCCCCTGTACCTCTTCACCCTCCACATAGTGGCGCCAGATTTCACTAATAAGCCCTGGTACTAAGAGGAGACTAATGCCCCTGATGATATTGCTGCCCCAATAAGAATATTATCTTTGAACCCCTTATAAGAAAAACACCAGGATATCTGTTGAACTCACATGCCATCCCCTATTCCAAACCAGGAGGTGGGAACTATCACACTTGGGGGGGTTGGGAATGGGTCAGGAAATTCTGTAAGGGGTCTCAATGGGATGGAGGGATCAATCGAACACCAATCTTCAAATGAGATCTTGTAATTCCTTTTGATGTCACCTTCATCCTCCTCTTTAGCACCTTCCCATACCACCTTCCCTATTCTCCCCCCGTATTTCCCTCCAAGCCAGATCGAGTTGAATTTTTGTATTTGCTGGGAGATTTTATTTTTGTTGGATAAGTGCTGAATTCTTTCTTTGGTGAGTTCCCATTAGTGTAGGATGTCAATCTGAATTTGTTCTTTAATGGTTTCCGTAAACTCTGGGTCATCGACCCTGGCTCCTTCCCATTCATTAATGCATCTTTTCCTCCAAATGACCCATAAAATTGCCCTACTATTGAGCATGAACAAATTGTGAGTAAATTCGTCGAAAGGGTCAACATTCCATGCTTCCAACAAAAGGGGTTGCCAACCCCATGGCCACTGAGACTTGGTTTCTAAGTTATTCCAGATTCTGTCCCACCATCTCCACAACCATACTGAGCCAGCACATTGAAGGAATATATGTTCAATTGTTTCCGGGATCATTCTACTTGGGTACGCTGTTTTGCATAATTTGCACCATGGTTGGGCTTTGTTGTTTTTGTCTTATGCAGTTCTATTTATCAACCAGTCATTAGTAGGAAGACATTTGTGTTCAATCTGCCATTGTAAGGATGCAATTTTTGCTGGTTTAAAACTTTTGTTGCAAAACCATTTAATGTGCTTTAGATCCTTTATGTCAAGGTTAAGATGTATCATCCATCTGTTAAATACGCTATCTCCGAGGTTGACTGCTGGTCTCAACATTTTGTATGTTGATTTGACTGATAGAGTGTGGAGAAATCTGGTGTAATTTCTATTTCCTTTGAGTTGTGATCCTCAATTTCAGGATGCAGGATCCATTGCCAAATGAGAGATAAGGGTGTTGGGTCTAAAAGCAATTCATTCATTTGTAATCTGTAGTACTCTGATCCTAAATATTTGGTCAGCAGTCACCCACCTAATTTCATCCTCTGGATGGGGGATTACTTTGTTATCTTCTTTGAGGATAAAGAGGGATGCCAGTATATCTCCATTTGACTCACTTTCTAGAATATTACCTATTAAATGGTTGTTGTCAACGAAGACCACCCAATCGTTGGTCCTAATTTCAGGCCCTTTCCTCAGAATGCGGATCCAATCGAGGGGGATGAGCTCAATTATCCTATCCAGGGCCAACTCCGATTGGTGACAATATCTTAGTTGTTCCTTAATTTCTCCACGAGTAAACCAATCCTTGGATTCTTTGTTCCAAATATCCTTGATTCTGACTAATCCTTTTTTAATCCATCCTTTCCATGGTGAGTCATTACAGTGTAGTGTGTTTCCTTGGTTATCTCTTATCCAGGTATTGTTAAACAAGGGTTGTTGACAAACTTCTTCCCATTTGATTGGATGAATTTTATCTGTTAAGGGTAGTCTTCTCCATGTCTTGAGAAGGGAAATTCAAAATGGGTCTCTGCTGAGATCTTTTCGGGCCTCATCTCTGTCATTGGAGGGGGTTTCTTCCTCTTCAACTTCTTTACCCCTCGGAAGGCCCCAAGCCCGGTTTTTCGGCCACATCATAGGATCGACTAGGTCATTAGTTGGAGGGACTAGTTTTTTTATCTGTTCCCATGCAATGGCACTCCAAGGGGTCTGAGGGCTCAAAAGGAGTCTAATGATCCATTGAATAGATAGGGCCATTGTTTGGAGGGTAGGGTCAATGATACCAAGTCTCCCTCTTGATTTGGGTTGGACGATTGAAGACCAGGCCACTCTACTAATCACATTTTTGAGGTCATGATTCCCTCTCCATAGGAAAGATCTGAGACTCTGATGAAATGCTTTGATTGAGGCTTTATCTAAGGCCCATATGACCGATTTGTACCAGATTGATCCCAATATAACATTGTTAATAATTAGAGCGCGCCCAAAAATAGAAGTATGTTTGTTCATCCATATCTCCAACTTTGCATGAGCTGATTGGAGTATTCCTTCATTATTAGAAGCAGGTTTACCAGTTGCTGATAAATTGATGCCTAAGACCCTTACTTGGGAGTCTTTTGGTAGCCATGTAATTTTTGGATTTTCCGGTGGTCTGACACCTTGATGATGGATCCACCACCCTAGTGTCTTGTTACGCCAATTAACTTTCATATCAGATAATCTACAAAATCGATCCATTAGACTTGGAGGGCACTTAGATTTTC